TGTTGCTACCTTAATAATAATAATAATAATAATAATAATAATAATAATAATAAAAAATTTGGATTTCCAGCTAAGAGGCAGTGATGATACTGTATAAAGAGCAGAATTGTGTAATAGGCTTTTTTAGTGCTTATAGTGGCATAGAGAAATGTCATGTTATGCTTAAATAGCTAATGACCACTTAAGTATTATCTGTGTATCTGCTCATATTTGTCAAGATGTGGAGGTCGAAGGACTGGTTGGTGACACCTGGGTAATGCCTAAGCTTCTGGTTGACTGCTAATGACTTATAATGTCATTGTATTGTCCATGAAGTATGGCTTGATGTAAGAATCTGTTTTTAAATTTTAAAAAAATATATATATAAATTGTTCCAGTCATTTCCCTGTCCTACTGTTAGAGCTTTATGACTGTGCTTTTATGGTGTATTTAAGTTCCTTGGCATTGAGCCTGCACTGCAGGATGTAACAGTGGCCACTGTGGCCTTTTAGGATGCCATGTTTTTGTCAGTAACAACGTTTCTGTATTTCTAAAACTTGCTTCATCTTGGCTTCTCCTACTGAGAAGAATGTTTAAGATCTCTGGTGATCCATTTCTGGCAATGTCAAATGACAGGCAGTTCTTGGGGTCCTGGCACTGAGATCCAGGGAGCCTATCTGTCATTTCAGCTTCATGGTCATAGTCTGCGAATCACATCAGCAGAAGAAGCTGTTTCTAGTCCTATTCCAGAATTTAGTGTGGCAGGTTCTGTGCAGTCACCTAAGCCCATGATAATCCTGGTCATAAAAGTAGAGTGAGTATGAAAGTACAGAAGAGTTTGGGAAGCAAAGTGGCTCATCATTTGACTAGCTTGAGGAGGGTTGCACACAAAACATTGATCTGTGACATATGAAGATAGTACCATTTTGTCCAATTTTTCCCAAGATAAATTGCTGTTACTGGAGTTTGGACTGTATTACATCGGGCTGCATCATGTGTTGAAAGGTGTGGGAATTTTTTTTTTCTTGTCACTGTTGTTTTTATTAACACTATTTTTTGTGTTATCACACTTGGATCTTTATTGCCTTAAGAACAGTCTTCAAGATAGAATGAGCTCCCCATTGAAAAGGAGGAACAAAAATTTCTTTCCATTTTCATTCCCACCTGTTAAGAACTGCTGCCCCTGTAGAGTAAACTCAGAGTTATTTGCTGACATAGAATGTTGAAACTGTATTAACATTTCTTTGTATAAAAATCTGGATTAAAAAGGATTATGAAGAAAATCCCTTGAAAGTTTCCTTTAACAGTTCTTCCCCTGGGTTATAAAAGTTGAATAGAACTAATTATTAGTGAAATGCAACATAGTGGTTTATTTAAAGCTTGTCTGTTAAATTATGTCAGAATTCCAAACTCATCAGTAAAATCCTCCAGTTTCCTTACTCACTGTAGTGTCTGCCCCTTCCTCTGGCTGCTTTTTTGCAGGTAGCTGCATTGCACGCATGAGTAACTATAATCTAAATACTGTCACTAATTGCTTGCATGCCAAGGCAGGGAAAGTAGTGGCCTACTTTATTTTTCACATACTTGGATATCTACTTTGAAATCTGGTGGATTTTGGAAGTGTTTGAGCGTCTTCTGTAGAGAAAAATCTGAAGAACACAATCTGAGTACCAAGCCTAAGTAGCTTCACATATTAATAGTTCTACTACTTAATGAAGTAAAGAGATACTGATTAAATTAATCTGATTTGAGGAAGATCACAGAGCAATTCCATGTCAGAGGTGGAAGTGAAATGGTGAGTTCTTCAGTCTTACTCCTCAGTTTTAACTGTATGTTCATTCCCTTCTTATATCAGCATCTCAAGTATATTTTTAATACATTTCCAGTTGATTTCTGATGCTGGTCTGGCTTTCACTTTTTTTTTCTTTTTAACATTTAGTTACGTACTGTTTTAATAGGACTTTTTAATGCCTTTTGCCCAGAGGACAAGTGGTGTGCCTAGCACAATTTAGTGAAAAGCTGTTTCTAGAGTCCTGAATAAGATAAGCTTTGCCTTCTTTAAAGCATGTAAAAAGATAGTAAATATTTTTATACATTGCATTCTCATGTCCTCCAAAGTATTCAAAGTAACTTAATAATAGTGAATGGCAAGTGTCTATGGAACAGAGAAACTTTTCCACCTACCCTTGCCTTGAAGGTGGTAGACTCTGGGGGTAGTCTAACGCCATTGGTAGCTCATTGCTTCCTATGCAGTTCTCTGGATGAGCGTGAGCAGGTGCTGCTGACTCCCCTGGGGATCTTCCTCTTTGAAGCCATGGCAGCTGTCTGTGGATCTGCTGGTTTCCTTGCTCCTGCAAGTCACACCTCTAAGACTAGTAAGAGAGAATGGGGGCTGGAATATCTGTGGAAAGCAAGTTGTATGAACTACTTCCAGGTTTGTACCACTCTTCTAGAAGGACCTAGCTTAATTCTCAGCTGACAGTCTCGCCCACAAAACTCCTACAAAAACATGGAGGTCTTGTCTTCCCAGCCCACTGTCAATCCCTGCCCTGCAGTGCCAGATGCTTTGCTTGATCCTGATCCTCATCACCTTCTCCTCAAAGTCCTGGGATTCCATTCCAAATGGAAAGGAAGTGTAAAACTGAGATGAGTCTCAGAGCCATGGCAAGAAATTGTCATCAGTTATTTCTCACCTGGAGAATAGTTTTGATATCTTCCTGACACAGAAAAGTGTATACATGTCCTTAGTAAGCTTTCCTGTTAATTCATTTTCCAGTATTTATTCACTTGAAGAAAACACTGCAATTTAACAAGTAATTCTAGTATTAAAGTGATATATTTATAATGAATCCTTTTGTGAAAGCTCTGTTCAGGACTCACTTGCAGAATCTGATTGGTGGATGTGTACAAGTGTTTATTTCAGTCTGTGAGATATTCTGGTCCATCCAGTTAGATAAAACCTGAGGAAAACAACTTACTGAAAGCAGTGTAACGTCTGGGAGAGTGCAATTTTGTTCTCTCTTGCGAGAATAGCGGTAGCCCGCCTGCTTCTGTTCTGTAAAGAGTGTAGTGCCATTCCAGTAGGGCAGTTCTCATGTGCTGTAATTTCAAGGTGAAATTTGCAGCTGCTCCTTCTTCTTCCCCTTACTCTGTCTAACTGTAATCTTGCTTCTGATTTTCTCTTAAAGAAAAACAAGAGGGATATACAAAGTTTAATAAATACTTGTGTAGTATTTCAGCATCTTGGGGGGTAATTTTTGTTAGGTACCTGAAAGGAGTAATATTAATGAAACACAGTAATGTTAATTTCTTTTAAAATGCAAATGGCTACTTTTTGTATCAGTAGAAGAGGATAGTGAGGAAATACTAGAAGGAAGTGGCAGGGAGGTAAAGGTGACATCTTAATATGTTGTTAATACAGAGAAATTACTGTCCTCTTTATCCATGCTGGAATTTTATCATGGATTGCTTCTCCCTGCAGATTTCAGTTGTATAGTGTAAACATAATACATAGTTCCAAACAAAAAAATTCTACTACTACTTGGTTGCCCTTGTTTTTGGTTTTATTTAAAAAAAAATACTGACTTGTGCTTCTTCTGACAAGACTACAGCCTTACTTTCATAATGGGATCAGACTTTCAAAATAACAAGTGTTTTGGAGTTTTTTTGTGGTAGTCAAACCATGCTTTTATTTATTCAGGATGTAGTTTCTAGTTGACATCTGTATGATACCTTATCCTATATTTAAAAAACATAAGAAACAAACAAAAAAAACCACCACAAAGAAACAAACAAAACTTTCCCCCCCCCTACCCCCCC